CTTACTTTCCTCTTCTACCTACCTGCTCCCAGCCCAGAGCTATTGTGAGATCTCACTAGCACAGCCCCACACACACACACAGACATCTTCCTCTCCCACCTCCCACATCAGTTCTGCAGCCACCCTCCCTGTCCAGCCAAGAGCCCTTAAGGACAGGGTCACAGGTACTAGGCGTGTACCTGTGTTGAGTGTGCTATTTACTGGGCACCTGATAAAACACACTGGTCAAACAAACAATTTCAAACCTGACCCCAAGAGGTCACACCAGTTTTTGGAATGTAAATCCAAGAACATCATTTAGGATTATTCCTAGAGGAGAATGCTAATGTTGGCTTCTTTGGACTCTGGAAATCCTTTAAAATGCCCCCTAGTCCCTCCCCTCCCGGGAGCCTGTCAGACTGCTGTCTTGGGAATTCATGCCCCAACCTCTGAGCAAGCACTCACCAAAGGCCACTCCTCAGCCTCAGAGATCTCCTGCCTCCCCTGTCAGTCAGGGTGACAGTCGTGTCTCCAGGACATGCCAGTACAGGGCCGGCATCTGAGAGGCGCTGAGCAGATGATGGCTGAATCCATCAGCACAACCTCCTCTTTCCTCCCTTGTCATTTTTTCCTTTCCTGTATTTCAGCCTCTCCACCACTCTCCAAGACACACCCTCCTTCTATGAGTTATTCCCCAGCCTGGACCAGCTCTGCCCCTGCAGCCTTGGGAGCCCGTGACCAGGCAGTGTGACTCAGAGCCCCCATTTCCACATGAACCATGTTTAAGTGCTGCATCCAGCTGGCACAGCCTTCTTGACTTGTGTCAGGGAGGCAGCCCTGCAGTTGCTTTGGAGAGAACGCGTGCGCGCACGTGTGTGTGTGTGTGTGTGTGTGTGTGTGTGTGTGTGTCTGTGTCTGTGTGTGCGCGCGCACAGAGATGGAGTCCTGGCTGAGCTTGGGATGGCCCCCAAGCCCTCTGCCCATGACTCTGGCCTTCCCATCCTGCATTCCTGGTCTGATTGTGGCTGGAAAAGTTGAGGCAGGAATTTTGAAATGATCCACACCCCAACCACAGCACCTGGCTGCAAAATGCCCTCTGGCTTTGGAAGAGGCCCAGAGAAATTAAACCCAGATGGCAGAAAACCTGCCTCTGGGGAAGCTGGAAACTGTTGTAGCTCTCTTCTTTCTTTCTCTTGGGCCAGTAAAACCCCAGATATTAAATTCTATACAACAATGACATGCAGTCATCATATAGCACATACTACAGAACAGTCTCTATTCTCAAAACTTTCCCTGTACTCATTCATTTCATCTTTGCAATGACACTAGGAGGCAAGTAGTATTATTTCTATTTTACATCTGAGGAGACTGAGACACAGAGAGGCTAAGGAAATTGCCCAAGGTCACACAGCTAATAAATAGTTAATCTGGGATTTGAATCTAGGCCCAACGCCTAAGCTAGAGATGGAGAAGTAATGGGAGACCACACTGCTGTTGCTTAGGAGGCCTAAATGGGAGGCTGGCTAGAAGGCTGATGGCCCATGAATGAAAAAGGCAGCACAGTCCCACATGGAAGACAGGAAAGCCATCTAGTGTCTTAGGAATGGCATACTAGGGACAAGAACTTGTGGATGGCCACCTCGGGAGGCAGACCTAGCTCTACTTCCCCAGTCTGTTTTGAGGTGACTTCGGACTTAAACCTTCAGGCCCTGCCAAAGTTTTCCCAGGACAAAACAGGGCTTTCATCCAGAGCCCTGGTCTTCCACTAGTCAAATTTCTCACCCACACAATGATCCTAGTAGGTACAGTAAAGGATTTTATGAACATTCAATGTGATGTAATCCCTGAACCCTAACCATGTACTAGGCCCTGCGAAAGGTCTCTAAATATATTAAATTATTTCATCTTCACATTTAGCTTATAGAAGTAAATACATGGATAGAATAGCTCTGATTTACAACTGAGGACACAAAAGCAACAAAGAAGGTAAAGAGTTGGCCCAAGGTCACGGAGCAATTGAGTAGTAGAACCAGGATTTGAAAGCCAGAATCCGTGCACTTAAACACTAAATACTCTACCTCTCAAAGAAAATAGCCAGCAGGTTGTGGGTTTCCTCCTCTGAGCTTTACATGTATTAATGAACAGATGACTCACAACAATTTTATAAGATAGGCCTCATTTTACAGATGATGAACTGAAACTCAGAGAGGGAAAGTAACGTTCCCAAGGGCACACAGGAAGTACAGTCAGCCCTCCATATTCGCAGAGTCTGTATCTATACATTCAAGCAAGTAAAGATCAAGAATATTTAAAAGAATTCCATATGTATTAAACATGAACCAACTTTTTTCTTGTTATTATATTCTCAACAATACAGTACAGCAACTATTTACATAGTAGCATGTACACTGCATTAGGGTTTATAAGTCTCCTAGAGGTGACTTAAAGTATACAGGAGGACGTGTGGGGTAATATGTAAGTACTATGCTAGTTTATGCTATAAGGGACTAAAGCATCAAAGGATTCTGTTTTCACAGAGTTGGGGGCAGAGGGTGTCCTGGAACAAATCCCCCTTGTGACACAGCCAGGGACCTCCCATAAAAAGCAGGCCCTCTAAGGGTCTAGGGATTATAACCTCTCAGGAGAAATAACAGAGCTAAGCTAGCTCTCCTTCTTGCAGGGTTAACAGTAATGTCAAAAAATTAGGAGTTAAAAAAGTGTGTCAGCCTTCAAGGCTTTGGGAGTGAGATAAGATGCCAGGGGCTGGGAAGTCAGCTCAGCTCAGCCTTCTGGATTATGTCGGCAGAAACACCAAGAAGCTGGAGCCAGGCAGCAAAAGCACCAAGACGAGGTCACTGAGTCAGGGCAACAGTACACCCCATTCTGAAAACAATTCTTTCCCAAAGTTGAGGCAAACACATGGATAGAATAGTCACTGAAGGAAACTTCGGTTCCCTTGATTTTATCAGCAGAGTAAAACGCATGCACCCAGAAGGGGACTGAAGATGGTCGTGAGACCTGCGACACATGAATAAGTATGACGGAGAACTGCAGGTGCAGGTGAAACCCCACCCCTGGCTGGGATGACCTCCAGAGACCGCAATGCCCCCACCCGACAGATGCCAAAGCTGTGCACCCTTGTCCTTTGCCGGAGCCAGCCTGGCACACTCCATCAGTCCTGTCTGCCTTCTGGTTCAAGCAGAGGCCCTCTGCAAAGAGCCTCGTTCTGCTTACACTGTGCCTCTGCCTGGTTCTGGTTCTGGGAGGCTGCCTGTCCATCATCCACCCTGGGAGCAGCATATTCAGATAGAACATGATTTATAAATTGTGGTGAAAACAGTAGCAGGGGCTGGGGATGTGACTCAGAGGTAGAGTGCTTGCCTAGTCTGCCTGAAGCCCTGGTTCAAGACCCAGCATCACCAAAAAAGGTAAAACAGCAGCAACCCAACCTGACATTTTGCGGGAGACTCTGTACTTTCCAAGGCACTTTTCCATCTGGTCCTTGCTTCTTCCTGGCTCCCTTTGGAGGAGACAGTAGACACTACAGCTGGGCTCACAGAAACCCCAGGACCACACTGCAAGGCAGGCAGAGCAGGCTCCAGAGTTCAGGACTCCAGTTCCCAGTTCACTGTGCCTGCTCTCTCTTTAATTTTTAAGCTATATTTTGTGGACTTCAAAAAATAATATATGTTCAATGCAAAATGTAGAAACACAAGGGGGAAAATAGAAAAAAAAATTTGGCTAAAAACACCCCACTATCCCACCCCACTGAGATGACCCTTATAAACATCTCAGTGTACCTTGTTTGTCTTGTTTCTTATCCAGAAATCCTCAAGGATTTGTTGGCCCACCAAACCTCATGGATTTGGGAATCACAAAGTCTGGCTGAAAGGGAATGGCTCTTCCGGTCCCCAGCAGGGCAGGGGTCAACTTGCTAACTCCTGAGAGGCTCCCTGCTCCCCACGCTCCCAGGGCCCCACATTCCTCAATGTTTCCTGGTTCTTATCAATAAATGGGGATGTTAGTGACATTTATTTAAAAAAAAACACCAGTAACTGTTTTCCCAAAGCTTATCCCACTTTGAAGTAAACACTTCAAAGAGCTCAGCACTCTGAGGAATCATTGTGGCAGGATAAGCCACGACTTTTATCTTTTCCCAGTGTTTTTTCCCCTATCTAATTAAACATTTTTTAAACTAATTTTGCCTCCCTTATTGTTGCCTGAAATATTACCACTAGAACTCCTTGAATTTGTATTTCAGCAGGATGCTGAGTTCAAAATGAAACACCTCCCTACCTGCAGGAAGAGTGGTATACATAGCCAGAAGATCAATTAATCCACTTCTTACTGGCTGAGTAACCCTGGGCTAATTATTTAACCTCTCTGAGCCACAGTTTTCTCAGCTCCCTGGTAGGTTTTTATGATTAACTGAGTGCTTAGGGCTAGCTGTTGTTCCTTCCCAGGCCTTGACACGAATAAACTATTAAAAGACAGTTGGCTCAGGCAGGGATGGAGAGAAGAGAATCCAGGGACTGCCTGGATCCTGCAGCTATTTGGAACAGAAGGAACGGGCTGAGAATTTGGGGAGTAATAAAAGCGTACAGGGTCCATAGAGAGAGGAGACCTGTTTGAAAGAAGACCACAGTGCTGGGAACCTCAACCCTGGGAGGGAATCCCTTAAAGACCATTGTCACAGCTAGGGGCACAGAGGTCCAAGAAAGAAGGGAGTGCCTGAGATCCCCAGCAAGATCTGAGAACCCAATTTCAGGGATTGAAAAAAAAAATCCACAAATAAGATTCTCAGAGCCAAGGGGAGTTGGGGGGAGAGGCCAGGTAACCAACCTGCTCTCCAGGTGCTGGGGTAATCATCCCAAAAACTGCACCAGAAAGGAAGCTCCTCAAGGACCTCTCCTACCACCTCCCTCTCCTAGAACTGGTGCCCACTCCCCAAGCCACTGCATCTGTCCCTCCCTGTGGCCTCTGGGCAGGCCCACCCTTCCCTGAATATGGCCATAACCTACCAGCGTCAGAAAGACTTTCCTGGAAATGTAACCCAAGCCTGTGAGGAGAGCAGCAGTCCCGGTGCCTCTTCCTCAGGGAAATGCTGTGGGAGTGATTCTCAACTCTCTAAACAGCAGGCTGCACACATCCTGCTTTAAGACTGTGGGTGGGGTGGGGTGGGGGGAGGACATCCCTTTACTAGAGCCCCAGCCCTCCCATCAGCTGCCCAGAAGTTGACAAATGTGTCAAGCTTGAATGAACCCCCACCCCCATTGCACCTCAAGGAGGAGAATCCCCAAGGACATTCTAACTACTTTGGAAAAAGTGTATCCCCAACCATATCTCTCTGGAATGACTCCCTAGCAGCTGGACCAAGGATAATAACACCCAGTCCAGACCTCAAGGTCTGACTGTGTCCTCCATCTGGATGGCGTTCCAGCCCCACTGCCAGATATCTCACACCCAGCGTCAGAGATGCTGGACATGTCCCCAGCAGGATTCCCCTGTCCATCTTCCTCTACCCTATACTCCCCGGAGTCTCCTCCAGCCATAACTCTCTCCAAGTTATGCTGTCGGTTTCAACCAGAGTAACAGCAATAATCCAAACTCCTTGACTTTCCAAACCATCTTTCCTCCTCCCCTCCTTCTCCCAACACCACTCCATCCCAGCACTGTAGAGCTAGATTTAGTTGTCTGTGTCCTCACTGGATAAGGAGCTCTCAGAGCAAGGACCATATCTGATTCTCTAGCTCAAGCCCAGGGCTGGGTAAAAGCAGAGACTGATTTAATAAATATCTGCATATGCTCAGAAGTATGAAGGTCCCTCTCCCATGTGGTCCAGGATCAGGGTCTCGGACACCTTCAATTCTAGGGCCGCTGTTTGCTTGACACATAGCAGATTCAGTACAGCAGTAATGCCAAGTGGATTCAAGGCCCTGGTATTGAGGTCACACAGAGCTGGCCTTGAATCTAGGTCTGTATTTACCAGCTGTGTGACCTACAGAGGATGGCTTCACCTCTCTGGGGCTCTGTTTTGCATCTGTATTGAGGGTGGGGTTGATCCCTCAGACTGGCATCAGGAAATTGAATGTCCCCAGGGGTAGACATGGACTTAGACAATGCCTTTCTCTGGGGTCCACAGGCCACCCAGAGTAGAGATAAAGCCCATGACAAATTTTCACTCAGACAGAGGGGACCAGGGGATCCTCTAGAAAGATGGATCTCTAAATCTTTCCAGGCCAAATGTGAATTATCAATTGCTCCAGAGAATAAGGCCCAGAGAGTTGCCCAAAAGAGCCATGAAGACCTGGCTACCTCTCAGACAACAATTAAATTCTAGAAACTGGGCTCCTTCTTCACCACTCCTGCTTTTTTAGGTTTTTATTTTTAAATTATTTTTAGACTTGCAAAAAATAATATACAGGATTCTTGTGTACTTGTCAATCAACTTTCCCCAGCATTGACATCTGATATAGTCATAATGCAATGATCCAAACCAGGAAATGAACATCGACACCATACTATTAACTTACAGAATGCTGTGGTTTGAGCCATATGAATCTCCCAGAGATTCATGGCCCCCAGTGTAGTGGTATTAAGAGATAGTGGACTTCAAGAGGTGGGATTAGTGAAGGTAGTTAGGTCATGGGGATACTGCCATTGAAAGGGATTAATGTTGGTCTCTCAGAGTAGCTTAGTTCTTCAAAGAATGCTGTCTTGCCATGTGATCTCTTCCACACGGATTCCCACTATGATATTACCTGCCTTGAAGTCCTCTCACCAAAGCTGAGCAGATGGTAATAGCACTGTGCTTTTGAAATGTGAACTAAATAAACCTCTTTTCTTTATAAAGCATCCAGCTTGGGTATTTTGTTATAGCAACATAAGATGGACTCATACACAGATCTTATTTAAATTTCATCAACTGTCACACTAATGTTCTGTTAGTGTGAACATTGATGTTTCATGGCCTTGATGGTTTTAAAAAATGCTGTCCACTTCTTTCCGGATGTCTCTTAATGATCTAACTGGGGTTATGCATTTTGGGTAGAGCATCACAGAAGTGATGGGTGTCCTCAGTGCATCATATATCAGAGGTACACAATTTCAGTATGTCTCTTTACTGGTGGTGTTAACTTTGATCATTTAGGAAAGCTGGTATCTGCCAGGTTTTTCCACTGTAAAATTACTATTTATTCCTTTTAATTAGTAAGACTTTTGTGGACAGATTCTTGGAAATGATGCAACTATCCTGTTTCTCATCATCCTTTTGCCCACTAATTTTAGTATCCATTGATGATACTTTCCAACAATCAATCATTACTGTGGTGTTTGCCAATTGACAATTTTCCATTTCCTTCATTCTTTCCATATTTATTAATTGGAATTTTACTATAAGAAAGAGTTTGGTCTTTCTCCTAATTTATTTATTTTTTTATATCAATAGGGATTCAAGGGCATTTATTTAATTCTATTACTATCATTATTTATCTTGCTCATCAAGTTGTCTCATCCTTTTTAAAATATCTCAACCCATCTGCTTCCTGTTGCACCACTTTCTAATGAGACATGTCCAGAGGCTAAGTCACCTGCCTTCCATGTCACTTCCCAATCAGAACACATCAAACACTATCTGGCAGGTAGTTGGGTTTCCCTGGAACTCACCAAGGCACCTTCCCAGCAAGGATGGGACCTTTTCCTGGAATAGACAGGCTGCAGTCAGGGAAAATGTGTCAGAGCTCCATAGGCAGGAAGTTACAGATACGGTTGAACCCAGCCAGGTGGCCTCTAGTCCTGCCACTTGCCATCCAGCCATTCATCCTCCCTCCTGCACCACCAAACTCACATCCTGAATTGTTCCTGCTTGCATCCCCCTTCCTGCTGGGCTGAGAAGCCAAAGCAGCAGGCAGCTGGCAGCATCTACCCAAAGTTTTTTCCTAATTTGCAAAGGAAATACTCTCCACCCAAGGGATGATTACCAGCTGCTCTCCACCAGTTACAAGGGCAGCCAAAGGAGACAAGGCAGTACACAGCTGCCAGAGAAGCTCTAGCATTTGCCAGAAAGGAAGCATTTGCCAGTGTTGAAGTGAGCCTGAGGGAGAAGGCTGTGGATACATTTCTCTTGTTTTAAGACATGCAAGGATTCTGTTTGCCCTGGGAGAGAAGTGAACCCAGTTTTTGAGGTCAGGAGCTGGGTACACAGGGCTCCTCCCAGGGTTGCAATGCTGCCTCACCTTTAGAGTAGACCTAGACTCCTTCACTGTTCTGATGTACTTCCTAACATACTTCCACTCTTAACATATGGGCTACATCCACTGTTACAGTGAAAATCAGCATCATATTTTCAAAACACCTGCTTCTCTCTTCAGCTGAGCCAGGAGTGTGCACCTGTGAACCTTTGGGCTGCAGAGGATCCTTCCTGTCTTGCACCCTCCCACGCCCCCCCACGCCCTATCCCCCCCCACCCCCGACTCAGCTCTAGGCCCACCACCCCCTGGGAGCCTCCATGAGTTTCTCCAGGCCTCTCTCTTCCCCTGCTCTCATTCCTGTGTCATTTAGGGACACATCTATCTCCCTACCACGCTGCGAATTCCTCACAGTCAGGGTCTTGTTCATCTGCACGGAGTACCTGGCACTGTCTCCACGCAGAGCAGGAGCTGATTTGCCAGCATCACCCAACTGGCACTTTGCAGATTGGCACTTTGATGGGAGAGGCCTGGTTGGCCCTGCCTCATCCTCTAGCTCACTCTGTCTCTTTCTCTCCATTTCTCTGTCTTCGTAAGACAAAGCTCATCCCGTTCTAGCTGAGCCTATGAGCAGGTTGTCAAGTCTTCCTCTAGGGCCTTAAGACTCTTGAATTCCTAAACCACAAACTTACCCACCAATTTAGAAGCTTGGTTAGTGCCCATATTTACTCACTTTGATTAGATGTTCTGCTGGAGTCTCAGACCAACTTCTTCCTATCATGCTCCATTGACGGCACAACAGGAAGCAAATGTCTCTCAGCTCACCTCTCCCATTTCCTCTTTCTGCACAGCCCCCAGGCTGTCTGTCCATTCCAGACCTGTGATGTCTCCTCTTTAGTACATCTTCATAGGGACTTGTGCTCAGGGCCTCTGGAGGGAGCTGCTGACACTAAACAGGGAGCTTGTAACCCTTCCCCTGATCCCAATCTCTTGCCTTGATGTAAAATGTATTTCTTTGAAATCAAGACATTTATTCCAGCCATATGTTACTTTTTAGAGTTATGGTGTGGCTTTCCAGATATCTTCTCTGGGGATTAGGCCAGGCTACCTGCTTTTACCTAACACCAGTTTCAATGATTCTTATATACAAAGATCCCACCACCCCAGGATTCCCAGGAGCTCAGTTTCCCTGCCCATGGACCAGTTGTAGAGGGTGGGATTCAGAGATATCCATGTGCCCATCATCTGTGACATCCTGTTTTGACTCTAAGAATTTACCCTTGGAGATTGCTGTTTGTGCTTCTGCAAGCCCATGACTGGAAACTGGACACCCAGCCAGTTCAAGGTCAGGAATGGCAAATAGAAGCATTTGGGCTTGGAAGTGGGTGGATGGCTGCCAGCTTTGAGTAGCCAGTCTAATTTCTCTAGAGTTATTTCCTTTTAAATACTTTCAGTGTCTCTGGAAACTCAAAAAGCTGGCTGCTAATCAACAGTTGAGAACTGGAGACCTTTCCCCAACCACTCCTTCACCTCTTCTCCCGACCTCCCCAAGTACCTCTCTGGGCCACACCCCAGACAGAGCACAAAAGGCAGAATAACATACTCATTCGTGCTTGCCTTGCACTTGACTGGACTAGATCTGCTTTCCAAGACCCACACATATTAAGCTGTCCCATCCTCCTACAACCCCATTTTAAAATGAGGAAAATCAGGCACAAAGTGATTAGGTAATTCTAAATTTCAGGGCTGGGATTTGGACCCGACTATCCCCAACTCCACCCTCAGCCTCCACCCTGTTGGTTTACTGCACTTTCCCTTCTGAATCCAGATGTTTTCCCCTCCTCATCAGATATTTCGTGCCATTTTATTATATAAGTTGTTTATTATGGCAATTTTGAAATATGTCCTCCAAAAGTGCCAG